AACAGAGACATTCATATGAACAATGGGGCACATGAGCGCAAATCAAAACGATGTTCCGTATGTCATTTATATTTATTAGCTCTCACATATAATAAACATAATGGTTACAGATATAACTTTGAAAGGTGTTATGATATACTAATGACAATATACACGGAAATCGGACTATGAATAATTTTTACGTTGTATCGACTATCATTCTTCGCTTCTAGTTCACAAATATAAATACGCATAAATCAATCGGCGACCCTGGGCCCCGCAAGCGGTCATTAAGATATAAATAATTAGTCTAAGTCAAAGCGACTACAATCAATTTATACTGGCATACTCATCTTATGAAATAAACACCATTCCTGGAATAACGTTGAATGTCCTTGAAGAAACTTAATGAATCTGAATGAAATTACATCTTTTTTAAACTGGGGTTTTTTTTTAGTATTTCATGTTTTACCGTATTCAATTATATCTTAATTCCTTATTTATGTGCTGTAAACAAACAACTGGTCTATTTTTAAACCCTTTGATGTCTTGTGCATAACATAACATAGTCGGGCATTTGGACGATTGGAAGATGTTATGTAGTTTAGAAAAAAATAACCATAAAGACAAAATAGAATAAAGGTATAAGTTTAATTTCAAACAAATTCTACGCTTTATTAAGATGTGAGAGACTACTGCAAGGACGGGCGCTAGGCTTCTTGAGTAACATCTGACAACCCATGCTAAGTTTCCATTTCCAACAAGGGTAGCCGCTGTCAATTGTCATCATATATATTATTGCAACACCTCCATTATTCATCGGTCCACCTGTGGAAATAGTTAAGTTAACAAAATTTGTTAGGTATGTTACCTGATTAATATAATTATATGCCGACTATATCAAATATCGACTAGCGGGGGATAATTCACCCATCATAATTCATATACTGACAAACACTCATGAAAAGTAGCTATGTGCCAATGTTCCTTGATACATCTATTCACAATGTCCTAATATTAGTGGTCGGCTGTTTTATTTGCTGTGCTTTCTGATAGCGCGTAAAGTTCAATCATTAATAGGTCTGATAAGGGAACTTGATATATTATTATCATGCATCTTCTAGAATCCAGTTCTATCAAAAGCACCAATGGCTATCATTTATTTGCTGGAGTTCTGACTATTGAAATATCTGTTGATTGATGACAGTGACCAATTACTGTTTCTGACACGAGCTGCTCTCTATCCTCATTTTAGTACAATCTATGACTGTTGACGTATCAATCATTTATCATCCGTATCTTACTCTCGTCCACTTCATGGTCATCGCGCTGGCTGATATAGTGTGCAAGCTTAATCAGTAAGTGTTAAGTAGTCGATTAGTACTGGCAATATAGATGATCTAATATATTAGATTTAATCAAAGCGTCTGTATCAGAAAATTGATACAAAAGTAAACATTTGAAGAATAAAAAGTGATAATTTATGTGATTTTGTCTTTAACATATTGTGTAACTGGGTAGATATCAACCGCGTAAATGATCTATTGTAATGTTTCCTATCCGATCAGCGATACTTCATGTTGTGAAAACTACAAACCTTATAAGCTAGCTGTTTGGACATAAATGAGAAGTGGTATATGGTGTTATACCCTCATTACTTAAAACTAAATGGGGTGAAAGCTTGCATTTAGAAAGTAACCTCGGGATAAAAGATTACCAACCATGCAACATTGTTGATTGAGCCCAGTAATATATATCACTGACTACCTACACATATATGGTATTCCTAAAAGTAGATTTTGAGTTGTTGTTAATTTGGATAAACATACATTGATTTTTGTTTAGGTACGACAGACTATGTTGAAAATTTGCATTTATAACTAAAGCCACAGTTGAGAATTTGGAAGGGATTCACTGGTCCGCGTGTTCAATAGTATGTCCCTATATAAAATACTATAAATAGAGATATCAAAAGAATCAGCTGGACCTATTGAAGGTTGTAAACATTTTGTCATGGTCAGTGGCCAAGGTCAGAGGACAAAAAGACGTCTCTAACTCTTACCCATGGAGTATTGGGCATTCATCGAAAATTTGTGTTTCGCCATCGAAACAATATGTCAAAATGAAACTTAAAAACATAGTTTCGGCTTAATTATTCGAAGCTAAAGTCGCGTAGAGCTTGCTTTCACCATAGTCCTAATAATACATCAAATCAAAGAGGTTTAGATCCTTTAAACTAAGTTAGTTTAAAGTGAATTTAGGTAAGATTAGATAAAGAGCTGACAGTTCTCGCTATAATAGTTACGAAATAGATAATGAAAAGGTAATATGTTGAACATTTCAGTCAAATTAGTTCACTCTTAACCTCGTTATCGTCGTTAGATTGACATTACTACCCTTGTTACGATAATAAACAAAATCTCGATTTTCCATTTTTACGGTAACACCATCAACCGCAAAATGTATTCAAATCTATTGAAAATCTAGACTATAAGATAGCACCAAGAGTTGATTATTGTCCTATAGGTAGATTTTTTTTTTTATTTTTGTTTTTTATATAATGCCTGTTTAACTAGCATAATATGTCCATGTCTAAACAATTCAGATTTTACAAACATGCTGCCTTATCATTACAGTCTGGGTGTATGAAACTAAATGACTTGTAAAGAAAATGAATGGACACAGGTAACTGACTTAAAAGGTCGTTTTGGGGACTTTTATTCCATCGATTATATTCTTAAAGAATATAACCAAATACAGACTTTAAAATAGCTATGGGTTTCATATATTGCAACTATAACACTCTATAGATCTCAGCATCAACTCACAGCGTGAGAGTTTTCGATACGTTACATGGAAAAAAGATTATCGGCTTCCGACGCAGTAATCGAAGCTGCGAAATTAGCGACACGGCTTCTTTGCCGTTAATGTTGTTTTACCCGCGGCTTTATGTATTTATAATGGCCTTAAAGACAAAGCAACGTTTAAGTTACTTGACAAGCAATAGTTTGACATTTAAATTCAACGTTTCTTAAGCAAAAAGTATAAATCATTTGACACATTGGTGTGATAAATAACAACGAGTGCTTTGTATAACTGACTCACTTCCCTGTTTTTTCCTTCTCTGTTTAACATAAAACAATTTGATTGAAAAGTTGGTCATCACTTATTACGACTTGAACCGGTAAATTTCATCAACGGATATTTTTAAGATTTCTATCAAACTTAAGAGCTTCCGATAACATCCATGTTAAATGTTTTATAGATCTGCAGTTCGGATAGTATTTGAATACAATGATTGTATTTGGCTAGATGTATGATCCGCCAATTTTTAAACATCTAAGCGCAATAGGTTTATTTTTTTGAAAAACAGTATTACCAATATTGGCCTCTAAATTGCACATTTGACATCAGGGGACATTGAACCATATGACGTTAATGGGAGAAATGTCATACATTGTAAATAAACAAATCACCGAATAAATTCAACAAACATACCGACTTCAAAGCACGTCGTTAAAAGGCAAATATATGTAGGAAAAATTAATTGTTTATTTTTCTATTGCCTTCTGATATTGAAATCTTGTTTAATAGAATATCGATCATACTTTTGTTTTGTTATGTTTTCATATTTAGAGTTGTAAACGATATATATATTGATTACTATAAAGGTCAGATGCTATTGCTTGTTTGTAAGTAACAAACGTTTGATATGATCAGATCTGATACTCTCGTCAAGTTACAAACAAATCTACATCGCCTTTTAATATCTAACATTTTGTATTTTTATACCAAAAAAGCGTACTGTTATGAAATCAAAAGAGGATCTCCAAACAGCTGTATTTAATAATTGACTCATTTTAGAGCACCTAAGCTTATTTCTGCACTCTGGAAAATTAATTACACCCGAAATGAAATGAAACGGGGTTGAACGTTCCACTTTTCTGCTCCATCAGGGCTAATGAAGCCGGACATACGCCATGTAGTGTGCTATGAGGGAAGCTTGTCCGGACAGTTGTATAATGTGCTACGAGGAAAAGTTTACCAGGTACCAGGACAGTGGTGCTAAGGCCGACTCTTACTTTGAATTTCAACTGGCTTGGGGAAACCAGCCACTAGTGTATTTAAGGCGACGTTATCTGAGTTACACGACATTTTGTTCCATTGGAACGACTAGATGTTGTTCTCTGGACCGAACCTGAGCCACTACATCGCTACTTAATTACACCTGATCTGATTCACTCACCAATCATCAACATATCTACATTGGGTATTTTGTTAAAATATCTTGTAACCTTTACTATGTCTGCTAAACACATCGTATTTTGACATCTGAAATGCAGAGACTTAGGTAATGTTGTTTCAAATAAAATAGTAATAACGTATTACAAAATCAATTGAAATGGTTCGTTAAATCCATTATGAACTAACACACCCGAGATCTTAAACGTCTGCGGCCGTTTTAGAGTCAAGAATGATGTTAATGTTTTTTTACTTAAATGTCAAGGGATCGATTTCTCGCCAATTCAGTTTGTTGTACCATCCGAACAACAAGGCCATCTTGGTGTCGTCTGCCATTACAGACATTACAGTTGTGGTGTCCAAACTACACGAAATAAAATCATTTCTCCGTCAGGACAACACCGTTCCAATAGTGAAATGAAAAGGGGCTTCACGTCCTACGTTTCTATGTGAACCTGACAAATGAAGACAAACATACGAATGCAGCGTTGGGAGAGACATTTTTGCCTGAACTCCAACTGTCAATGATTCTACAAGGGGGAAATCTGGTTGGGAAATTCCGAGGAACTTTCTGGGCCAAAATCATAATCGAAGCCGGTTATTCGTGGCTAGTGAGCCCTCCCCTTACTCACTAAGGCGTGGCTCCCCTGTTCGAATATAACCCTTACACTCGAGGATGCAATCAGTTAAGCAAGAATCTTCGATGTCAATCCAGGCCCGAAACTATCGTTTTATTTCGAGAACCCCCTGATACCCCTTCTCATTTGCGATGTTGACGTAGCTAACACTTATTTTTGTTGTTTTTTATCTCTCTATTCACAGCTTTTTTATGGCGTAGGTATTTCGAGATATATTTTGTTCTTTTGTATTTTTAGTCCATTTTTCACATAACTACGGAATTCGAAAGCTTCCGGAGTCTACGATTACACGTCAGAGAGAGAACAGAGTCCTTTATCTCTCTATTCATAGCTTTTTTTTATGATGTAGCTATTTCGAGGTATATTATTGTGAATTTTGAATGGTCGTATAAAAATTCATTATATAGTCTCAAGTTACGGTAATTGTTTGTTTAATTATGATTGTGTATGTCTAACCTTCAGGAATATCATCATTTTATCTATCAGGTCTAATATTCAATTCTTTTTATCTTTTTCTAGGATCGAGAATGGTGAAAGCACCAGTGACGTGAAAACTCCATTTACCAATCAATGCCAGGGTTAAGTCTTAGTGGAGGGAATTGTATAGCTAGACGAAGACACGCTGTTAGAATAGAACCTTTTGTTATAGGCGATACCATAGAACAGATCTGATTGGGAATTCGTGCTTTTTTACCTTTCTTATATACAATTTAGACTGAATTGAGTAACTATGATAATAATGAATATCTTTAGCCAGGCGAAAGAGCGGCATTAAGGTGGAATATTGTCATAAAATACTCCATATTGACCGGCAGCTTAGAACGTTTACAAACTTTTATTGTGTTGTATATGGATTAAATATTTATATTCATCTACATTAAACGTTGATCAATAAATGTATGTATGGACGTTTCATCTACATTGTTATCAGAAAGGTTTGTGACATTCGACTATCGTACAACAGAATGAAATAACAAAATACTGACAGAAAAATATTTCTACACGTAAAAGTTGAAGTTCGCCTTAATGGACGTCATCTATCAACAACACGAGTTAATATGTGGACAAAAATTAAATGATTGTAGTTTGTACAAAAAGTTTTATTTACAAATTAAGAAGTTTGGAAATAACGAGAGGAATTACAGTGGAACTGTTCAGCATAGCACAGAAGATAAATTCAACATATAAAGTGCACATGTGACTAATGGCAAACGATTTCATAATCACACTTTATCTTTATTGACTAAAATATCATGTTTGGTGAACAAGTTTATATTTAATGCTTTGCATAGTTATGATCACAGATTACTTTGTCATTTGAGTGGGTTTTCATCTTGGTGGCGCCTTATGAATATGCATGAATCTAAACCCCCTTTTTTAATCTCGGTAATTGTCAAGACAATACGTAATGATATATCATCCAACATTTAATGGTAAATTGAAGTGTTTATTGTGCAAATTTCTAGTGGCTAGATAAAACACTCTGTTAACATAACTGCAGCCGTTCAGAAGAATTTAATAGATTTTTATGTTCAAATGGAAAAGTGTTGAATCTAGGTGTGAATCAGTCTGACCTGTTTCAGTTTTAATTGCCTGAATAGAAGACAACCTGTGAGGGAATTTATTTTACAGCGGGGCTTTCTCAGCAAGAAGAACGTTTTTCAATTATATTCTCCTTTCAAACCATGCTTTTGTGTTCCTTGTCTAAACTATTTAGATTTTAATTATCTGAAATCGAAGAAGAGGATGTCCTGACAATTTTGTTAGCCTCCACAGTAGAAAGGAAGTAAGTTTTTTTTATTGATATTTTAATCAAATCTATCAAGAACTTTACTACGGGTAATGGTATTTAATCAGGCTTCTCGCTTTTCAAATTTAAATTGTTCGAAGTGAAAACTTAGTTTGGCAGCGTTCCTTATTTAAATGTAATTGATTGCCAGGGAGTCAAAAATAAGGTAATAGCGTATATGTGTTAGGTGTATGAAAATGCCCTTTAAGTCTAATTAAAAAGCGTATGCAGATTCCTTATATTTTATACTGTAGGGGATATTCAGAAACAATACAAAACTGCGGAAATGCACCCCCGTTTTTTTAGAGGTAACCAGTGTATATTAATAACAGGCCAATTGCCTACACATGAACATAAACAGTTCACATGGGCGGCTTATCTGACGGCCCCATTTGACTCGCAAAGAGATACACCGTCAAAAGTGAAAATGGACGTTTTTGATTTTTGTCTTAATAATGAGTAATTGCTCCACCAATCCTCAGACATTCAGCAATTCGTCGTGGCATGCTCCTAATTAACCGTCCATTCAAAATTTGGGGCAATCTGACCCACTGCTCTTGCAGTACCGCGGCCAATTCTTGCAGTGTTGTCGGTTGGCGTTGCCGTCGACGAACACGTTTCCCGATCAAATTAAACGTAACACACTAAAGCAAAGATACGATAAACAGTAAATCTTGTGCAAGAACCGATAGAAAAGCAAACATGGATAGATAAACCAGCACGCGGCAGTTTTCATCAACCTTTCCTTGGGGTGTAAAATTTGACAATGAACCCCTCCCACGTATATGGCGCTATTGCGTGTCGCATGTGCAGCTCAGTCGTTCTATTGGGGGCGATAAGTTCTTCATCTGTGAACATACTCTCAAAGCATGTCAGATGTCCATGGCTATTTATCATATCGCAACCTGCATAGGTATTTGCATTTCAATATCCCCTACTTTTTTTGAAGAGTATATATCTGGTTTTGAGTATTCAACCATTCTCAACCCAAAGTACAAATAGTTTTGTCTTTAATTAAAAAATTAATACGCCGTTGGTGACGCTTGGGAGGGGTGGGGCGGTATATATCCTCCGTATATAAAAGATAAAGCAGCATACGGGCCCCTAAAAATCTTAGTTCCAATGCACTTTTTATAAGTGTATTCACCTAATGCCACAACTTTAGAAACAATAGCCATTATTACATGATCAGGGGGGGGGGGGGGTATAAACAGGGATGGGCAGTTACCCAGATGAGACTGGAGTCTCCGGTTTAATTTGTTCATTAAAGGGAAATGATCCGCATTTCTGGTTCTGTATTGTAGAAACTATTTTAAAGGGCGTGTGGTTCTAATTTCTAATAAATTATGTTGAGTGAAATACATGAACTGTCCAAATTGAACGACAATCGTTTACGCCTGTAGTCCATTCTACACGTTTTTTATTATTATTTTGTGGATTGTGAATCAGCGATTACTAATTACTTCCCAGCTGTCTTGTAGGATGTGTTTTTGTTTGGTCATTACAAATTGTGCCCGAGATCATAGAATACACGACTCGTGTACTGATTACAACAGGTTCACCGTGTCATAAATATTGGATACTAGAATTCCATATTTGTATGCAAGTTAACAAACATCAATATTGATTGAAATGGGCCAATATTATATTCGAGTTTGTGTTTTTAATTTCAAATATTGTGGAAAAAATTGAGTTAGAGGTTTAGACAAAGAATAAACTATTAAGAATTTGTCAGAGTCTGGGTTGTCCTTTAACTTTAATTTATTGTAATAAGACAAACGTGGTATATAGCTTACTAAAACAATAAGTTGTATATTGGCATTTTCTATAGCTACCTACATCAACATCATTCGTTTATCTGATTCGATAAATATAATAAATGACCAGGTGTTCAATCTGAAATTGAATACGACGATGATTCGCCAATAGATATACGCGTATCTTCGTCACTTGTTTATTTAAATCGTATCCTGGCGTAAAGGACAGCTGTTACAGCCCGCAAACAAAAAGGGGAGATGGTGTCCATATTCAGTGTTTAGTGCTGAGAGTCATTCTACCTTATTATCTCTTTCGGCTTCAAAGTTAATTTATTTAGTTTTAATGTCCAGGAAATGTGTAAGACAACGGAAGAATCGATATATTAGTTCACCTTTAGTATACGTGCATTAAGTGATATATTATGCCAACAGGAATACATCGATTAGTGATTATGTAAATATGTACGTGCATTATTAACCTGATTAGTTGTAACGGAAGTTTATTAGACAAGGCTATAGATATAATGAGCAAATAAAGACCTCGAATATCCGTTACGACATTTCTATTGAAGGATATTATCCTCGACTTAAATGGTAATTATTGCGTGATAATAACGGACACGTAAACACTTATGGTTCCACAGTTTAAAGAACAATAATTAGACCATACAACCGATTAATATATAGATATTATATTTAGAAGATATTATATATACATTTGCATGCATGGTAATTATTGCGTGATAATAACGGACACGTAAACACTTATGGTTCCACAGTTTAAAGAACAATAATTAGACCATACAACCGATTAATATATAGATATTATATTTAGAAGATATTATATATACATTTGCATGCATGTAGGTCTATATAAAGTAACTCATTTTATTTTATTGGTACCCGGCTTTTTCCAGGATCACAAATGGGTGCAGAGAGGCGTCCGTAAATACATGGGGGACAGAGAAGGGATTTAACACGCATGTAAGACAAATGGTGTAATTTCTTGACAAAATGTATGAATCTATAGTCAATAATAGTAGATTGAATACAGTAAGTTTATATATAATATCCCGAAGCGAACCGTGGAGCTGCCTTTATTTCTATGATTGTATATAATTGTAACAGCACATATTTTTCATTTGCAGGATACCATTTGGAAACGAGGAAAGAATCACTTGTCCCGTCCTGTTCCAATTAAATGGGTTTTTAAAAGTCGGTGGCAATATTAAGGCGGAGACGATTCATCACATATGAAAATCCTATCATAATCTACTTTGTTTCTTTGTGAAAATGGGTTTCGGCGATCGCTTACATAAACAAAAATAAATGGAAACGCTCTAAAAGGATAAATATTTAAATTCAGCCTACTCTCAGACTGACGATAATGTATATCAACATTCCTTATCGACCAACTAGAAGTTTGAAAACACTCTACAGAGACCAAAAAACATTTTAGTTTCTTGCATAACCTACAGACGCACTGTTGCTGTTCTATTAACCGTATCACGTCGCTATAGAAATCCGATAACTTAATACAAGATAGCCCGTAGTGTTATATCTATAAGATTAGTCATAGTCAATTGCGTGGCTAAAGTTCACATTTTTATATGTTTGGATTGAGAAATGAACCAGTGGGCTTTCGATCGCCTCATGCTGTCCAGAATAGTTACAAACACGACGGCGATGCCAACACTTCAGCGCCTATAGACAACCTTTTACCCCTTCCCAATTGGCAAACAGCAAGGCTATTGTGGAAAGGTGGTTGGCAAATCCATATTTATGGATTTTCAATACTTTTTTTTCTTCTCTCCCTCTTCTGTGCATTCGTTTGTGTGCGATTTAGACAACGAATAAGCCGACTAAAAGCGGTACTCAATATTACCATTCTCTTGTTTGTTGCTGGGATGTTGCGCGTGTTTTATTTGTCTGTCGATCCTTATGGATACTCTAAAGTTCTGTCCCCTGTTTTAGTCGGAGTGTTGTCCCAGTTGATTTATCCACTCCTATGTGCATCTTACGCTCTTATTCAAATAATGTTATTACGAATAACACGACTTGATGTTGGAAACAGCAAACTTCGTAATTCAACTCATCTCTTCGCGTCAACATTGACTTATTTATTTAGCATCGTCTTAATAGAGGTGATTGTTTTCTACGAAAATAAGGCTAAAATCTTGTTAATCATAGATAACGGTTTGTTTATTGCCATGGCTCTTTATTTGTGTATCAGTTTCATTTGTAATGGATTCCGTTTATCACAGTACGCGACGGAAACCAGGCGAGTTCGAAAGCAACTAGATCAATTTTGTGTTAATAAAAAGACGCATCCGAAAATCAGTTTAAGTCGTTCGTCAACGTCTTTGCGACTAGCACGACCTCGTTTGAAGATCACTGATGAGGATCGGATGACTATAACAATCGCGACAGATGCGGATACGTCATCGACAGATGGCGACACAACGAGCAATTCTTACGTCCGTATACGGAAGCGCCGCCATAAAAGATCTTCAAATGTACGGAAGTTACCAACGTCGCCATCTGGTACCCGAAGTGATCTGTTTGATTCAACTGGTTTGATGTCTGACGAGTCTGGAATGGCGGGGATATCCGATACTTCTGGTGGATTGGATTTCCAAAGCCCTACTTCCGTAAACAAACTTTATATCGATTTTAAACAATTGGACGATTCGGGTGAGATTTCCCGTCAATTGATTAGTGAACAGTCGGCAGCAGAAACTTGTTTACAAGAAGGAAGCGATGGCGAATGTCCCGCAGCAAGCAGTGAACTGTATCCGGTCGAAAATGGCTACTTGGCCGATACTGAAATAGTAATGAACTCCCCGAAGCTATCAATTCAGACTAATTTCCAAATTTCGCAGGAAGGAGATGATGTTAGTTTGGACCATGATAATATTAATTTTATTCTAGGGGATAATTTAAAATCCCAGCCATCATCCATAAGTTTATATCGTATTAGACAGGGCTATATGATACAGAGAGCTATTCAATTAACATACTGTACAACCTTTATGTTTTTGTTTGCCATATTACTCCAGTTGTATACGGTGTTCGGGGTTTATGGTGTACTGAACAGAAATTATCAGCCTGAACCGTGGCCCTGGTTTACATTCCAAACTTTATTCAGGTACGTATCATAGCATTTATTTGACGTACGGCCGGGCCTTACCGTAATACAAAAACAAGACCCCAGGGAGAATTTGGGAGTATACAAACACCAAATTTACAGAGTAATGTATAGTAATGTGTCTGATTCTCTCGTAACTTTAAATCCAGTGATGCTTAATAATTATGGAATACCGTATCAATAAAGTAAGTGGACGGAATTAAACGTCTTAATGGGGTATTGGACAAAATTGACCAACATAATTAATATTATCATGCATCAATTAAACCATTGTCAATCTCCATTTCCTTCTTAATCGTGTATGGTACGAATTTGATCAGAATAATTAATCTCATCATTGCCACCATCATTATGCATATAGAATATAGTATCATAATCGTAAACTATTGTCAATCTCTGTCTTGCTCAGCGTAAATGGGAATATCCCGTATTAACTTATCATCTAATGTGTTATTAAACACATAAAATTCTACCAGTTGATTGCGATATCACTTCGATGAATGGGGGACATTATTATAAAACTAGTTGACACACCCCCACATTGGTATCCTGGCATAAACACACAGAAATGTGTCCAAGTTGGAATCTTTTGTATACTGATCATCAATAAAAACATTTTTATGTGAGGTTTCGACTAAAAGTAAAATGAGTTTGGTCATATTATTTTCACAATATATCATTTAAATCCGCTGACCGGCATTGGCATAATATTTAACATCTAATGAAGAAAACATTTCAATATATCAAAGATATATACGTAATTTTAGTGGATTAAAACGAGTCCCATCGAAAGATTTTAGCGAATAGTACGGGTGACGAAAATTTGTTTTGAATATATTCCGTTTATATCGTCTGCAAAAGATGCAGATGTTTCAATGCATCCTATCTTTGCAAATAATGAACGGAATTTAACCATTTTAACTACAAACCCAATCAACGCACACAGATTCGCAAGAAAATCGACAATTATATTTTTGACCCAAAGGTCTAGTCATTTAAAGCTAGAACAAATTTGTAGTGTTTATGATCGACAAAGGAAACGATGGCAGCGGTGGCCATTGCTTATTATACACAAAATAATAGTTTTATTAGGCCCCGATAAAAAGTAAAATGAGGTTAGAAAAAATCCAACCTTAGAAATAACGTGAATGGATCTATTCAAAAAGAATGATCGAACACGACTAACTGTCGGAAAGCATCTTATTATTTCGGTATCCATATTTATTTTACAAACTCTATATTCAACGATTTTGTAATCGCTGACGTCTTTGTTTTTCATATATATTGGTACACATAATTCTAGCTTAAATATATACTTATTCACTGATTTTTAAAAGGCCTCGGTTGAACTAACACTATCAAGTGTCAGTACATGTATTTAATTAGAATGCAATCCTGATTCTCAGGGCGATATACACGTTATGCAATAGTCATAATACACCTAGGCTATATATAATAGCGTACATTTATTTCAAGCGAATCCAGCAGAATCTAAATGAAGATCTACTAAACTCAGCTTCAAGTCATACTCTTATTATATTCCTGTAGCGTGAACTCTTTAAGACGACAAAATATCACTGCCCTGTAGCGCAATAGTATATAAAGAAAATCCGATTCGGATACAAATCAAACAAGCCTAAGTAATGAAATAAAAGTGCTTACAATTAGACTATACTTCCGTTGTTCATGTTCTTGTAAACTAGAATAAGTTCTAACTACATCTCTAGTCAACGAAAGGTGTGTTGTCATGGGTAAAACAACGGCTTTGGCCAACCACAACGCTTAAATGAGATTGTGAAGAAAATAGAAAACCTGTACCTGTAAAGAAGTAGACCAACGATATATTCAAGTCTTCTTTCTCAGATATTTATTTTATTAGATCGGAGATTGCGATTTACTACACACCGGGACAAAACACATTTCTCAAAAAACCTTAACTGTACCGGAATGAACCCCTGTGTCACAACTGATCGGGAAAGCCATGTGCAGTTAAAGAAAACACATAGTTCTGAGAGGCTAATATACATATCAAACAAAGATTGCCAATAGAAAAGGGTCGTATGTACACACAAACACGGCGCTCGTATATCCAAAACCCCTATCCCACCCCATTCCCGGAATTAGCTCCTGGCGATTCTATAAACTGAGAATGTCATATGCTCTATTCAGATACTATAACTACAACTCCAAAATAAAACATTCCTGGATCAGCCCTAATGAAAATCACATTGGTTTCGTCTTTGTCGTGATCATTGGGTTTTTTACGAAGACAATTAGGTATGCTACAAAAAGAAAGATATAAAACGTTTTTATTTATAAAATATTTTTTGGGATCCATTTTAAACAATCATTGACATCATCAACTTAGTGGTTTAGAGTTTTAGAATCGTTTAGCAATTAATCAGTTTTGAACTAAATCGCAATTTCAAATTTCAAAAGTAGATCAGACAGTGGTTTAAATTAGATTTGTTATATTAAATACAAAGAAAAATGCATACAAATATTTGTGACTTAATTTCAAGAACTGCTTAATATCGATGAAATGTATCTGGTAACCAATTTCATTTTTGTAAAAGTAATCTTGAAGACTAGATTATCAGCCAATATCTTATAACAAATATATTGTTTTGTTTAATATTTGCTTTATCTTCAAAAGGCAAATTTTTTTGTCGAATCTCTGCATAAAGATTGTATTAGACGAAATTCCAATAAGAAACTCGATATAAATAATTAAATAAAGCCAGCCGTAAGGAAGGAAAAAACATAAAAAGCAAATTGTTTTACTAGAAGGTGCCGTGTTTTTCAGTTTCATTATTCGGTTTTAATACAACTAAAGAATACAGTATGAATTCCTATTAATACCAACGTCGTACGGTCGCAGCAGCGCAGTAAGGACGCCACCTCGGTCTGACGGGGGCATAACGAAGGAAGTCCTGCAAGGGCCTCACAAAATTTGATTTTCCAAATTTCATTCGTTTTAATGCGAAGGGCTTGTGTATTTTTTTTAAAAATCGTATGTGTAGTAAAACTGTACTTTTTAAAATGGCTTGTGTTTTTGTGTAGTTTTAATACATGGGGGTCACGGTGGCTAAATGGGTAAGACGCTGCTGGCTCGCTAGCCGGGAGGTCGGGTGTTCGATCCCTGCATTGACCGAGAAAGTTCATCCAGTTTTTCCGGCGTGGTCCCCGCTTGCCTTTCATGCAGGACGGAGGGGCCGACAAAGAAAGCTGTCTACTCGTTCGGATGGCGTGCACGTAAAAGATCCCTTGACAGCTGGAATTCGATATAAGAGTAGGCCGTAGTGCCGCTGTCCGGGCAAAATTTCCCTCATAACACACTGTATGGCGTATGCCTGTCTTCATTAACTCAGTTCGGAGCAGAACAGTACGACGTTAAACCTCATTTCATTTCATTTTAGTTTTAATACACAGGTAGAGTGCCCCACCATAAATAAATATCTCGACAATTATACCACAATAAGTATATATATAACAAGTCTTAACTTACAACCTCACATTTATAGTCCCTAAATAAACGGTCGTGTTGTATTTATCAATTTATAAGCATTTCAAATAATTAAGAAATTTTGACTGAAAAAGTTGTCAAGGCGCTGCCATTAAATCCGGGCATTTTTTTTAGTGCAACATAGATTATCTGCCCTTGATATGAAATTAGTCCCTTTTAACCAGTGTACCGACGGTTCTCCAACTGATTGACAGGTCGGGATAATCAAGACTATTTTCTACTAAAAGTTACAGAAAGCTAGATCAATAAATCTAATTTAGAAACATGCACGTTAGGCAACTCTACAATTGTTTTGAGAACCTTGTAAAAACAAAAGGATGATACTACTAGTATGCTATTTTTGCCTAACGATGGAGCTTCGGAGTTATTAATTTTACTAAACCAAAAGATGTTGCTCCTAACGGTATAGCTCATAATATAATTTAAAAAACGAACGTAATTTTCCAAAGCTGCTGTAACAATGAATCAGAAATATTACTGTTATTCAGAATCGTTTTTACGGCTTTAATAGTCGATAGATGTGTTGAAAATTAATTTGACATGCGATGTCTAATTATAGCATCATTGTCTGTACCGCCCAGTATTCAGTTCGGAACTAGTCACTGAAGCACGCACATTTGCCCTGGTGTGTAAAACTTTTAATAGAGAAATTTGTTTGGGATGTATGGGACACCCTAACACAGGTACTGCTTGACTATATACTACAATAACAACAATGTGTTTCACCCGCCATATTGTTTTGACTCGTTGAAGACATTTCACAATACTCACTAGTTCTAACACTCCCCGTTGTTTTTATTGCCAACGAGACCGTATTTGACCATTATACAGCTTTTTGCCGACTAAAATGCAAAATATTTTTTCCCAAAAAAGAATATTTATTTTTTATCTTTTTACCTGTCTGCACGAGAGATTAATTAAATTTTCCTGAGAGTATTCATCTGTCATTCTGAGATTCCTAATTCGCGGTTTTAATGTTAGTTTTTGTAACATGCCTCGACCAATCAAAAATAAGGGTTTCCCCAACGCGACGCCATTGACCCCATTTCGTGTTATATCTGGTCCGACGAAGATGCTAATTTTTGGGGGTTGTTTTTGGTTGGGTTTTTTTTTGGGGGGGGGGGGGGTATTGTTTTATTTGCCTAGTCAAGAACGTGCATATTTGCCGCCCAATTATCCAGTAGGTCAATGTTACCTAGCAAAAAATGTTTTTTATTTGACGTTGACTTACTTGGATTGTCAGATCGTCATGAGAAAACACCAAAGGTTATTACTATCTGCAGGAGGGGTCTGTATTGAAAGTTTTGAAAAGAAATTTAAATGCATATATTGACAACCTTTAAACACAAGGTATTCTATTTTTATTCTGTCGTTGATCTAGCTTCAAAATTAAAATACAAAACGAGAACTGTTTGGTTTGATTCCCTTTGATATTCTTTGCTTGTCAATTTTCTTGATGATCACATTTTAAAATCATTACAGAGGATTTATCAAGAGCTGATCCACAGCAAATCAAGATCTCTTTAAACCAGGTCCAATTTGCAGACTTGTTACTTCTGGAAGGTCATTACAATCGAGGGGTTTATTTCAAACATCTATTTGAAAGGACGGGTTGTGGGGAATCTTGTGATTTTAAACATTTGAAATATATCGAGTGTTTTAAGCCATATTTGAATTCATCACGAGTCTGCTTTTGATACCAGTTTAGCCTTAAAACCCACTGTTAGCATAAACGATTAAGATGTTTGCTTGAAGAATTTTATTATAAGAAATCAAAAAGGCTTTGAGATAACTTTAAAGTTGACGCTGAAGAATATTGACTGTAATGTAATACTCTCAGCTTAAAATAAGTTGCAGGAATTGTTAGCTTCGAGAAATCCTTGAATAAACATTGGATTGCAAGCAGATATTTGAGAGCATCATTTCAGTGATAAAAAGTGATTGGTATAACTGGTCTTGATTTAAGGTTGCGTATTTTGTTAATGGAAAAAATATACCCGTTGAAAACGACATTAACGCTGTGGATCTTTATGAATGTTTTACTGAATGTTAATTTTAACAGATATTCTTATCAATAAAATAGGTTTATTTTTCTGATAGACCCTTATTATTTGCAATCATAGACATTTACAGGAATTCAAAATGTGAAAATTACTTCAATTTAGATTCATGGGTGGGATTCTGATGAGTGTTATTTGTGCTCTGTCCGTATTGTTTATTCAGATATCGGGAGTGTGTATAACTCAACGGGGCGAGAGTTATGGTCCGAGCCGTTCACCCTAACAATAACACTATCACTACCTGTTTGTTCCTTGGTGTACGGGTTTTTGGAAATTTGGTTGCATATAAATTCATATTCATTGATCAGTTTGGCATTATTCCGTGTATTTATTTTTCCACTGTCCATATTGTTTATTCGATTATCAGGAGTGACTGGGACGGGACGAGGATTATGGTCCGAACAACCCCCACCCTAAGAGTAAGTACAGGGGGACACTCTAACCTATACATCACTACCAATAGGCTCCTTGTTTTTGGAAATTTGAGTACCAAATATTTATATTCATTGAGCAGTTTGGAAGGTTTGGCATTATTCAATGTATTTTTTATATGCGTAGATCACTTATCATTTTGTACGTGAATTTCCCTAATATTCAAAAGTGTGTTGAATTCGTATATTATTCAACAGGTAAAAAAAACCTTTTTGTTTGAAAATTAATTTCCATGTGTAATGTGTTACTGAAATTTTTGTTCAGAAATGGTGTGATTCCACACAGTACACAAGAAATGTTTAATGTCATCAATGTTTTGTCTCAAAACTCAATTTGTAGTTTTTTAAATATGCCAGATCTTGACAATTCAGCTACAATCCACATCAAAATGTCAATTTGCCGAGAACTATTGGCACAGCACGCGATTATATACTTAAAGTTATCACTTCATGTATTCAGTGAATCGTTCATATTTAAATCGAAGTATAAATTGCATGTCAGTATATTTATGCCTTTTTCGTTTCTATTTTATTTTCAAAACATGTACAATTATGCTGAGTGGTTAACACGTGAGGATCAATTTAAATTAATGAATGCATAATCAAGCGTTGTAAATCAGCTGGGCAGCAAGTCATAAAATCTGTCGCAAAGTACCGATGATGGATCAAAATTTTGCACATTTAAAGTCACAGTTAAAAGACACCAGTCAAAGAGTGACATTAAAATTATTGTTTACAATTTGCAATCATCGCTGTTAACTTCGTTTTACGAAATAAAAAGTTTATTTCCTCTGTATTAACATCTTTAAAATGTCACCAATTCTCTAATCTGTCAGTACTAATTCACATGTTTACTTTGTAACGAACGAGCCGATGAGTTCTAAATATGGAGATAAGATACTGTTCTGGTCAATTTTCTTTATCCCGTCCTAATGTATTTCGTAATTAAATGGTCCATGTTAGTTCAAGTCTCACAAAAGTAACGAAGTCCTCTAATCAAATGCTCTAAAAAACAGACCCCAACGCACCATTACTGTAACAAGCTAACCTTCTAGTTTTCTCTATATACAATATTGTTGCTGTACGCTCCAACCACTTGTATTTTGTAATTAAACGGTCCATTTCCGATTGGTATTAACGTTCTTAGTTTGAATCCACTGCTTATCGATTTCTTTCGTTAATCAAACTGGTATCAAGCGAGGTTAATGAGCTAGCGGAACCTATCTTTGATGAAGTTCATCTTGTCTTTATATTCGGTACATCTAAGTAATTGTGGCCTTGTTAGTTAAAAAAACATGTATTGCCAGTCAACGAAATGTCTTACTTTCAAATAAACAAAATTAAACCTAGTTTCGATCATAGAGAGGCAGAAATAGGGAGCGGATATATTCCTGCACTAAACAGAAAGATGTTACATCTTTATTTCAATAATTCACTTGCAAATATATGTTTTTAGAATCACCCTTTCCATAATGTCATGGTCGGATTGATATTTTGTTTTGAAGGAGACAAGTGTTTATATTCTCATGCTAGATTAAAATAATATGTAAATCTGCAATCATGCGCAATACTAAAGTGACTTATATTCATTTTTTTCATTTTATATTTTCAGATTGACAGAGTTATCCATAGGATTCCTGTTAATGGCCGTTTTATATTTAGTTTTAAATCACAGAAACTCCCGTGGACGTAGAAAACCACACAAAAATATGGCACGGAACTGTGTTGTGTAAACAAGAAGAATAAAAATAAATAACTCATAAGCAGGTGCATTGTGATTGAGGATGGTTGTGATTTATTTTAATAAAGGCGCCGATAAAAAATAAAGTTAACTGCTTATTTCAACATTTTGATTTAAGGCTAATCCGTACTTCATTGCCATTTAGGCAGCAAAATCTGCGACAGTGCAGTCCAGGATTTTATTTGTTACATGCCAGGCATTTACTAACGCAGGCTTTGGGGCGCCTTACGATTTATAATCGCATAGTCCGTTTTGAGCTTGTCGTTAATATAACAAAATTGTATTTTTGTGGAGTATCCGAAATCCAAGATAGTTAGGAGCAGCTTTAACAGGTAAATATTAAACGCACGTGTTTTGGATGATTGACATTTTAAAAAAAAACATTTGATGTACTTACAAACTTGCCTGAACTCACATCGTAAAGTACGGATTACATCTACGCCCACCAGTATCAGTCGAATAAAACCAGGCTTACTTCCAGTCCCACCGTGTAATGCTATTGGTTTTTTTCTGTTGTAATTTTTGATGATTTAATGGTTTGAACACAGATTTAGAAATCGTTAATTTACATCCTGACTGTAATTATCGGTAAACAGAAACCATTTGTTATTAATCGAACTGTTCTAAAATAATCATTCCTTGTGTTAAATGAACTTGAAATTATTCAGTGGGTCTACGTGTTTCAAGGAAGTCCAAATTACTATATAGATTTTGTTACACGCTGTAATATAGATTTTTTTAAATTCGGAGATGATTATTCCTATAATAATTTCATCTATAAATTGATTTATTATGTAATTACCATGTTTACCATGATGTTAGATCTTTTATTAGAGTAAGCAGTTAGATTTATATATAGCTCTGTCAATGGATTGTTTTTTCGATTAGAAAAGTGGAAAACACTTGATGAGGCTCTGTGGTTTTTTTTTCTTATATTAATACTGCACTCGACAATTCACCTTTGCTAAAATTTTCAAAAGCTTTCTTCTTCCTGTGTGACAAGCACTGACCCCGTTGTTCATTATTTTATATGATTACCAAATAAAAATGTAAAAGGTATTAATGAAAGTCAACTATTGCTTTTCTAAAATCCTTGATATTTTGTTATTCTACACACTGGTGACGAACTTTCGAGTTCGTTGATGGGAATTAGGACTTGTGCCAGCATTTGCACACTATTTGCAACCAATACGACACAAGACTATAATATTGTACGGATACGCCGGTTTGACTCTGTGTACATGGGAGGTAAGTCACCAGGCTCCCCCCCACTGGTCTTCTCCGGGTTGTCGCTTTTGCAAAAGTGTCACGTGAACCAGTGAAATAAAATATTATTGATGTTTCTCCAGAAACGACCTGGCTATTTTCTGTGGGCATGCATTAAAGCCAATTTTCTATCATTTTCGGTTATAATTTTGTGTTTGCTATGGTTGTGACTACATCATTATTGTAACAAATTATGATCTTGCATTACTTGATTTTTGTTTTTAAAATATGCAATAAAAAGTATTTTATAAACAAAGACTCCTTTATCAATGTCAAAACAGAACAAGCAACGATTATTATGGATAATAGAGAACTACATGTAGTTCATTGATTTAAGATCCGAAACCCTCAAGTCCAAACTAGCTCTCCATAGATATTATATGCCCGCTCCATGTAACACAATATATTATTTATCACGTATGATCAGGTAACGGTTTCCGTTAATTTCTTTACGACCAATTGACGAACCTGGGTCAAAAAGTGTCTTTAAGATAAAACCGGGATCAAGCAATGTTAACCAATTCAATACATCCACTTACAGCGGATTTTGAAAGGGGTATATGAACTTATTTTAATCTCAAATCAGGGTACAGTATCGACCAGTTGTATTTTTCAGGATCCATTAGCATGTCTTAAATCAAAGAATATCATGGGTTTTTCTTTTACTTTTTCGGATTCAAAATTGTCAACTGCTTCTAGATCATTTTGACCATTAAGTTTATGGGACTTGGAGAGTTGGTCGAAATGTAGCCAACATAATGTGAACCAAAGCTTACAGTAACATTTATGTCTGATCGCCTGATATCTAAGACTCTTTGTTTGGTTCTGGTCGCAGTATCGGTATCAAATGGCAGTATGTTTAAAAGAACACTGTGTAGTTACCGTCCTTCGTATTAAATTTAATTTCGTTATTCTCCGGGACTTCATAAAGATAAGACGGTTGTTCCGGATGATAGGGTTTAAATAAAGATAGAAAGTAAAAAGATAATAAAAGATTGACGAAGTGTAATATATCATGGCTCTAAAATTATATTTACAGGATGAGAGTTAAGATGACATTTTCAAAGAATATGAGATGGTAAGGAAAAACACTTGATTTCCCTGTTTTCCTATGTTTTGTTGTGTGTAGTGTGCTCCTCAACAATATAAGGACATGTCATGGCGGTGCAGAGTTTTAAATAAACCGTCTCGGATTGTACTTGGTTCCGGTGGATCATCTATAAGCTAACAGCTATTCCTGAAACTACAACATTTCAAGATACAACCTATTGGTCATTTTTGAAACTACAACATGTAATCCAAAGGCAATGCCTGAAACTGCAACTCTTAACGATAAAACCTAAAGAGCATGCCTCAAACTACATTCAATGATTCAACCTGTTGGTCATGGGTGAAACTAAAACCTATAGGTCATAGGTAAATAGTAATTAAAAAAAATTAAAGAATTCCATAAGAGTCTTTCATGAAACATTATCCAGTTCCATTCACAAATATATATCTGGTTCGAATCTCTTCAGACATCCCAAATCGAGCGCGATTTTACTTTAGTGGCCGTGAAATGTCAATGTCTATCAAAAATCACAAAAAAGAGAGCAACACCTGTCAATAAGCCAGTTCATGCACAAGGTGTTTATCCATGATTAAGAAATCCAATATGTCGTGAACCCAGTCAAGTAGATCTAATTCCGTGAATTCAATACAACTTAAAGTAGACATAATCGATCTCTAGTATAGTTGGATGTAACTACGAATTGTTAAAGTTAAACTGCTGATTAGGTTCCTATATGGTCGGTCATTTTATTACAAATAACTACCTTAAATGAATGCGGTCATCTTTTTCAAGTTTGACGTCTAAATTAAAGGAATATATCTTTAAAGATGCATTATGTGAGAGCTAAATCTGCTTATTACAGTTTTTCTGGCTGAAAATGTTACATAATTCATCCACATGAATTTTCGGTTGTCAAGTACCGTTACTACGATAATGAATGATACGCTGCGGATTTAAACATTCATAAAATTGCTTACAATAAAGTAATTTGAATGAAATTTCAATATATTTTTCATTATTTATTTTTGAACTATCATAGCAAGAATGATCAATTCTCTCTTTCTAAATCTAACATAATGCATCTTTAATGAACCTTGGTATATACTATTCATTTTAGCATGTACCAACTGTAATGCCCACCAGTCATTCATATGAATTATAGACATGCGAAATTTATCGCATTGAATCAATGCTTAAAGATGGGTGGCGTGTAACTCAGATTTTTCCATGGCGTTACATGAATAGATTAAACAATTTGGGCTTACGGTTTAAAATGTCTAATCCCGGGCTCTTTTTATGCGTATTACACTCTACATTCTATGACATACGCGACTTTTAAAACTAACCAAATAATGAACACCACAGATGAGATATACGTGTTTACGTATGATATCAACTAATGATGTCTTCAGGCTGGGTGATATTAAACACGTTAAACCTCGGATTAATCTTTAAGTCTGTATTTGTATGATTTTCTCAGTGTAGTTTCCTGTAGATAAATATCAACTGCCGCGAGGGTTTCCAGGATATCAACAACCTTTTAACACATAATAGTTGTATATTCCGCCAGGCAGATATATGTAAGACTATTCTATTATTCCAACTGTTTGTAAAGATGTGAAATCTAAGGGGTTTTTCCTGTAAATCAACAAGCTTCGTACATCTTTTAATCATTTCTATTTGATTGGGGATGGCTTTTCTTCATGTTGAACCTTAAAACCTTGCTGTTCGGCCGGCTATCAATAATAATCAATGACCAATGGCAGTGGAGAAATGTACGAACCTCTACGTCTTTCAATTGATATTACGTGAATAACCACCCTGTCTCCGTCTTCTATTATTGTTCCCATTCATTATCTTCGTCAACAGACGCAGTCGCCATATTTAATCGTATTCGTGATTGTAGTAATCTGAACACTGATATATGTTTAAGCCTTATCTCGAAATTATCAAGAGAGCTTACGGCATGGAACATGGTATCTGGTTGTCAGTGGAATCAATACAAGGTGCTAAAAAGGTGTGTCACGAAACTATTAGGGGTTCAGAGTCTATCAAATGAGAAACAGGTTCTTTAATGATCTTCAAATATATGACCTTGGTAATGTGTTCGGCTTTAAATAAACAGTTAACAAAATGATCTTCTAGTATATGATCTTGGCAAGGTCGTTGATTTTAAAAAAAGCGTCGATGTTTTATGGTTATTGTTAAAAGCATGTCTACAGTTTCCGCTGATCTAAACGTAATGTTCTGATTTATCTAAGTCAACCATTAATTCTCTACAGGAGAAACAGTGCTGCTTATTTTCTAAGATTAATTCTAAATGTTGAGAAAGTTCAGTCAGGCATGAACATACTAATGGATATTTGTCAGGGGGAATGTTTGATGAGGAATGAGTATTTAATCTAAACCAACATCTTACATGAATAATTCATCATCAGAGTTTCCTGGTACGTTTGTTTCTCTTTGGTCAAATCTGGTGACGAATTATCGCCAATTATTCATTCTTTGTGACTTTGTATAGTTATTGGACATTTTTTTGCAACTTCTTTTGAAGGTGACATTAACAGTCGATGTCGTCTAACCCGTTAGCATCGACGAATCTTGTTAGGGGTAACCTTCCATGGAAATTTTATCTTGTGGATCGAATGGAAAGAACATTGATGTCTTGTGTGGTAAATGATAGTACGCAAAAATAAACTTTCGCAGACTAAAGGCCAGGTGGAACGCTGCTGACAGTTCATAATTTTGATTCTAACCATTGTGCACGTCACTTGCCATCTTGTATCAATTATATCTGGTAAGATACTTAAATAAGAATCTTGCTAATTTCTTATTTAAATTTGATCGAACAATAACGGGTTAAATCCCCAAGACTTCCCTGCATTACGTGGTAAATGGTACGATTCGTTACAAACTTATGTATATATTTGTGACTAAAAGACTGTGCAGCATTGTGTGCATGGCCTTTCTGCACTTATTGATGATACGGTAATATCGTTGTGGGGCATTGCCCGGGGTTATATTATTTCAAGATTGTAATTTAGTACGACTTTATCTTAAGTAAAATTGGAGAATATACGTTCCAAAGTTTTTAAACCACTTACGGATGATTGTATGATCAACGAAGGACTGAAATATAGCCTATAAATGTCAACCACCAATACTGTTTTCCAGATTGTGACATAACATATTGATATCACTTAGCTTATTGAAATGATAAGCTAGGTCAATATCTGCGACGTCACTCTATATCAGCTTTACAAGGTTGATTATTTATAATATGGGATGGATACCACTACCCAGGATTTTTTTAACAGAAACATTCGGTCAAGAATGAGCAGGGTTTTTTTTAGCTACACCACCAGAAACTAACCGGAAAGGTCGATTTGCCCTTCTCAACGATACACCCTTTAAATCCGACCATACACTGTCAAGGTTGAGAAGTGTAAATTGACTAAAATATATATAAAAAAAGAACTACTACAGGCATAATGGTGGTCGATTTATTCCGACTTGATATACACAATTGGTACTTGCATCATTACCAAACAATACCGCAGCATCGACAGAAGTGATAAGGAATTTAGACCTCGGGTGATTTTGTATTAGTAACTTTAAGTTAAAATGCGGTCAACAGTTTCGACCTTCTGATTGGTAATTAAAAAGATCCCAATTCTTTCATCAGTTACTTATCTACTTGATTCTTGTCTATTTATAGTAACAATGTTATTGAATTGAAGAAGGTCAGTTAGCCAGACATTTCATCATCTTTTCACTCCATCTTTTGATGTATAGGAGGGTTTTATGTCTTGTCCGAGTAATAATAAAAGCTGGCCCCAATTACAAGCTCGACGTTTAAAGTGATCAGTGATTTATGGCCTTTGCGAATAAAAGTTAACACACAACTACTTTAGCGTTCCCACAAATGAACAATTCGAGTAAAAAGTGAACTACTCTTAATTGATCGGCTGTCTGTACCATTACTATTACTAATGGAATTCACTGTTTACCGTTTGTATTTTATTTATTTCATAGATACAAAAACATTACATCTCTAAACAGCAGCACTTGGTAAACAAAAGCTGCATTATGTAATATTTAGATGAAGAGTTGACAGTTTTCTCTACAATAGTTAAAGAATAATAGATCAATGAAAAGGGAATATATTGAACATTTCAGTCAAATTACTTCATTCTGA